ACAGTTATGATGATGTGTGAAAGGTCACATTACTTATTTACCAAATCAAATTAAATTGGACTTTAAACTGCATACGCAACAGAATGGCAGTAATGTCAGCATGTCATTATTGGGTCTCCTCTCATTGTTTTCTACTCAAAGGCACTTGCCTCTCTTCCCCTTTCCTTCTTGGGCAGCGTAAGAGCAATACTTTGTAAAATGCTTTTTGTTAAAAAAACAAACAATGAGGACTGAACTTAAAAGAGACTCTCCTAAGGCAAAAGAATACACAGATATATTCAATCTGTAGAGATATTAACTATCTTGTTTGGTACCTATGTATTTGCCTCCAGTATAAAGTCTAGGCTTTTAGAAGGGATTTATGTTTGTTTGCTCCATATGGAAGGGGATTTCAAAGGTGGAGGGATTGGAAAAAGACAGCTTCCCAAGTCTAAGAGAAGTGACCAGACAAAAGGTACAAACTTCCAGTTGTAAGATAAGTCCCAGGGATAGCATGTACAGCACAGTGACTATTTACTTCGGCTTCATTGAATACTGGAGTGGGTTGTCATGCCCTCCTCCAGGGGTTCTTCCCAACCCAGGGATCAAACCCAGGTCTCCTGCATTGCGGGCAGGTTCCTTATCGACTGAGCCACCGGGGAAGCCGAAGAACACTGGAGTGGGCAGCCTGTCCCTCTCCAGCAGATCTTCCCGACCCAGGAATCGAACCGGGGTCTCCTGCATTGCAGGCAGATTCTTTACCAGCTGAGCCACCAGGGAATCCCAATCAGATAGCTATTTGAGGGCAATTAGAAGTTTCCAACTTACACAGATTCTCAGTTATTTCCTTAAGATAAATTTCCAGAAGCATCATTAATGGTACAAAAGAATGGTCAAATTTTAAGGCTGTTGAGTCCACTGCAAAGATTGTACCTCATCACAAACAGCAAAGTACCATTTTGGAAAGTAACTTGGGTAAATAAAAATGGAGCATGTATTGGTTTGCTAGGGCTTCCATAACAAAATAACAAAGAATAAGTGGTTTGAACAACAGGAATTAATTTTTCTTCCATTTTTGGAGGCTGGAGGTCTAAGATCAAGGTGCTAGTAGGGTTAAGTTCTTCTGAGACCTTTATCCTTTGCTTGCAGGTGGCCATCCTCTCACTGCCTCTTCACATGGTCATTCTTCTGAGCATATATACCCCTGGTGTCTCTTCCTCTTTTTGTAAGGACACTAACCATACTGGATTAGGGCTTCATCCTAAGAGCCTGTTTTAAGATAATCACCTCTTTAAATACTTTTTATAGTTACATTCAGAAGTACTGGAGGCTAGTGCTTCACATTATGAATTTAGAGGTAAGAGAGGGTGGGGACACAATTCAGGCCATGACAGAACTCAACTGCAAAAATTAACTCTGAGATATAATGGCATGCTGCAGTCCATGGGGTTGCAAAGAGTCGAACATGACTGAGCAACTGAACAACAATAATAAAAAGTTGACTTAAAAAAGAAGTAGAGTTGCTGCTTTCTGAAAATATAGCTGTTCATAGTTTCCCTTCTCTTTCTCAGCTCATTCTTTTTCCTTTTCTGTAGTTCTTTTTCTGTTAGGTGCAGTAAAATATACCCTTTTTACTGTGCAGTTCTTTTGAGTTGTTAAACATCATATTCAATTAGATCTTGTTATCACACTTGCAGGAGGGATGGAAAGCAAAGGTTGTCTAAATTTCAGTTACATTTTAAAACATTTGTTTTGGAAGGCTGAGATACTTGTAAGCAAGGAAAAGTCAAGAAACATACTCAGGCAATGATCTAAAAGGTAAAGTAGGAAAAAAATTGTTTTTCCACCTGAATGATCTCAGAGGTAGGAAAATGACAGCATCATTTAAGGATTTATATAACATGCTTTATTCACTGTCCCTACTTTTAGCAATCTAATCTCTGAAAAGAGTCTTCTATCCCAGTTATCTTGCGCTTCTCCTGACTTTCTAAATGTCTCTCAAACATGCTTGTGTTGTTTCTCATCATCCCTACCCTCTCTCTGTTGTTGTTTAGTCACTAAGTCATGTCCCACTCTTTGTGACCCCATGGACTGTAGCCTGCCAGGCTTCTCTGATCATGGGAGTTTCCAGGCAAGAATATTGGAATAGGTTGCCATTTCCTTCTCCAGGGTATCTTCCTGACCCAGGGATTGAACCTGCATCTCCTGCATTGGCAGGTGGATTCTTTACTACTCAGCCAACAGGGAAGTCTGCCCTCCTTCTATAGGTAAGGCTTAGACTAGACATATGCTTCTATGAAGCTTTTCTAGTCAACAGAAATTAAATCAGTAACAGATCCTCAATAAGACTGTGTGGATGATTATTTTAAAGCAATATAGGAAAAAATGTTATTTTAGAATTTACAATTTAGATGAGAAAACAAGTTACGGTCTGATTCTGTTTCAGAAATTCATCTTTTACTGTTTAACATTTATTTGGATGACTCTAAAATAAACTTCTTTAGGTCTGATCTTTCATCAGAGCTATAATCTTGGGCATCCCAGAACACAGTGCTCCATGAATACCCGTTTCACCTTAAACATTAACAGCTATGTTCACCATCACCCACACTTCCTCTAAAACAGTTTCTTTTCCTAGATTTTTGTAGTTCTATCATGTGGTAATTTTAGGCTTCCAGATATCAAACACTCGAATGCTTTTATTTTCCTCATTATCTATCATCAATCGGTTAGCAAATCCTGACATATCTGATTTGTGTTTTGTAGTAAGGTAATACTTTCCTATTATCCTTCTCTTTTAATTTTTTCAATGGCATTTATTGCTATCTAACATGCTGTATACGATTTTTATTTTTTGCTTCTCCCCACAAGAATGTAAGTTCCATGAGGGCAGACATTTTTGTCTGTTGCTTACTGCCCTGTTCCCAACACTTGGTATAGTAGTTACTGGATAAATTGAGAAATTGAGCACTTACTATGTGCCAGGCACTGTGCTCTGCATTTACATGCAGAATCTCATTTAATTTTTACCGCATTGGGAAGGTGTTTTATGTTATGATTTTAGATAATAAAACTTACAATTTAAAAAATGTCAGGTGACCTGTCCAAAGTCACACAACTCGATGGTCACACAGTTTGTAGGTAATAGAGTCATAGTTTCTCCCTAAACCTTGAAGCCTATCTATAGCCTTTGAATTAGTATTTACACTCCTTAATCTAAATTTCAAGACATTCCATAATACCAAGACCCTTAACCTAGTTTTTTTCTATCAAAAACCTCCTGATCCAATCAAACTGGTCCACTTTCTAGTCCTGGGAGCTTATAAATTTTCTCCAGATTTTGTTCCGGTAAACTCCCTATAGAAGTCTTATCTAGCCTTTGACTCTGTGATTCAGTGCAACTTCTACCTCTTTAATCATTTCTGAATACATTCCATTCCAGGGTACAGTGAGGAACTTCTCTTCTAATTTGCTACATGGTTTTGGGGCTCTCATCACGTGCCTTAAACCGTGTGGCATTCCTTGTATCTTGCTTGGAACACAAAAGTTTCAGTAGACGGAAGCCATTATAACTTTCTTGTATTCCCACCTGGGTGGATATGGCAGTTATCAAGGATGTGCGATACTTATATACAGTACAGTGTTTATGTGCTTAACTTGGCTCCCAGTCCGATTGAAAACGCCTTAAAAAACGTAACATTTTAGTTGGGAAGGAAGCTCATACAGATAACAGGACCTATGAAAAGATGTGTACACCGTGGGAGTATGTAAATGTCCGCTGAGAAGAGCCTCGCAAGAGGGTTCCACTGACAGCACTGGGGTAGCGGGGGTCTCGCTCCAAGCCTCGGTCGCAAAGTCTGAAGCGCTTTCGGCGCGCTGCTGTCCTTCCACATGGCCTCGGGCTCGCTTTTGCGCAGGGCCACGTGCCAATGTTTGTCTAATTGTGCCTCTGGCCCACTATAAACGGTTAATAACCGCCTTCCCTGACCAGGCCCCTACCCTCCATCTTTGTGCGGACGGGAGGGGTGAGGACGCCAGGTGTAGTGGCCTAGCCGAAACGCGGCGGGTAAATCCAAGACCCTAACCCCAACAGTCAAGTTTTCAAAAAACCCGCGCGTGACGCCCCAGGCCGCATCCGTTGGGAACGGCCCCCAGCGCGTCCCCGCTCACCGCCACCCCCCGCGCCCCGCCCCCGCGGCAGTCCAGGGCGGGAGGAGGCGTACGGGTAGCAAGAAAACTCTGCACACACAGGGCGCTGAGGCCAGCGCGCACTGGGGAGCGCGCTCGTCCAGCAGCTGCCGAAAACGGAAGTGGATGCAAGCGGATGGCTGTGATTGGCTGAACTGACATGTCTCTCAAGGGGCTGGCGCGAACGCCACTGCGGTGCTGGGTGAGGGGATAGGGCTAGGGGAGGGGGAAAAATCACTGGGAACAGCCGCGGGGGCTGGGGGCAAATGAATCGCAGAGGTTCGCGAACAGCAGAGAGAGTCCCTAGTGAGGGCACACTGGGGATCCTGGGAGTGAAAGCAGAGCGGGAAAGGCGGCAGCGGGAGCAGCGTAGGCCGAAGGCTTGAATAGACCGCGGAGGGCGGGGAGCCCGTGACCGAGAGCGGCGCTGCAGCGCGGTAGGCGGGACTAATGAGGTCGAGGCGAAGATTGGTGGACTGCCCTGCGCTGCCGTACGTCGGCGGTGACGCACGCTTCGGGGAGGGTGCGCGCGCGTTCAGCGGCCTCTTTGTGTGGTGCACAGATAGGGGAGCGGAGGTGGCGGTGGAGGTAGCGGCGGCTTTGGTTGCCTTCCAGTTTCCTCGGCTCGTCCTACAGCCGGCAACTCTCCCCTTCCCTCCCCCTTCCTCTCTTCCTTTTTCCCTTCCCTTCCCTTCTTCCCTTTCCCGTCGCTGATCGACGGGGGCGGCTCCAGCGACGGCTGGGCCCAAGTTGTGAAGAAACCTTAGCCAACCATCACGGCGACGGCGAAACCTCGGAGCTCCCAGGGCGGGGGCAAGGCCCGGGCGGTGGAGATGGAGAATTCCCAACTGTGTAAGCTGTTCATCGGCGGCCTCAACGTGCAGACGAGTGAGTCCGGCCTGCGCGGCCACTTTGAGGCCTTTGGGACCCTGACAGACTGCGTAGTGGTGGTGAACCCCCAGACCAAGCGCTCCCGTTGCTTTGGCTTCGTGACCTACTCCAATGTGGAGGAGGCCGATGCCGCCATGGCCGCCTCGCCTCATGCGGTGGACGGCAACACGGTGGAGCTGAAGCGGGCGGTGTCCCGGGAGGATTCGGCACGGCCCGGTGCTCACGCCAAGGTGAAGAAGCTCTTTGTCGGGGGCCTTAAGGGAGACGTGGCCGAGGGCGACCTGATCGAGCACTTCTCGCAGTTTGGCACCGTGGAAAAGGCCGAGATTATTGCCGACAAGCAGTCTGGCAAGAAGCGTGGCTTCGGCTTCGTGTATTTTCAGAATCACGACGCGGCAGACAAGGCCGCTGTGGTCAAGTTCCATCCGATCCAGGGCCATCGCGTGGAGGTGAAGAAGGCTGTCCCCAAGGAGGATATCCACTCCGGTGGGGGCGGAGGCGGTTCCCGGTCCTCCCGTGGCGGCCGCGGCGGCCGAGGTCGGGGCGGTGGTCGTGACCAGAACGGCCTGTCTAAGGGCGGCGGCGGCGGTTATAACAGCTACGGTGGTTACGGCGGCGGCGGCGGCGGCTACAACGCCTACGGAGGCGGAGGCGGCGGCGGTTCGTCCTACGGTGGAAGCGACTACGGTAACGGTTTCGGCGGTTTCGGCAGCTACAGCCAGCACCAGTCGTCCTATGGGCCCATGAAGAGCGGCGGCGGCGGCGGAGGAGGAGGCAGCAGCTGGGGAGGTCGCAGCAACAGTGGACCTTACAGAGGTGGCTATGGCGGTGGGGGTGGCTATGGAGGCAGCTCCTTCTAAAAATTTTTTTTTAATGCTTGGGAGTGGCTATAGGGGTAGCTCTTTTCAACCACCCAACTAGGGTCAACTCCCAAGTCCTTTTCGCTCCCACCGCCTTCCCCGTTTTGCCCTTGGGGGAGCCACTTCTAAGGCTGCTTACCCTTGGGGGTGTTGCCCTATATGCCTGCCACCTCTCTCGTCTCTCCCTCTGAAGATGGACTTGGCCCCACATACACATTTTTGTGTTACAGTCATTGATGGACTCTATTTTTTTATTATTACTTGGACTTTGGTCGTTTTTATACTAGCAAAATGTCTTGTTTTAATTTGTGTTTTTTTGGGGGGGGGAGGGAGTGAACTTGCTGATTCTGTAGCAAAACCTGGGCGGGGGTTGGGGGGTTTAGTTTACTTTGTTGTAAGGACTTGATATCTGGCTACAGCGTTTTCTATGAAATCTCCTTGGATCCCATGCCCGAAATTTGGAAGCATATGTACAAAAATCATTTTTACGTTTTATTTTTAATAAATCATTGTGTTTGACCGTACATGTCTAACATTTTTTTTCTAGGATCCATTCCGTACCGTTTTAAGGGTAATTTTTCCTGTTAATTCTTAATTCTTGATGTGTACTTAGAGAAACTTTTAAAAGGTCCTGTGAGGTTTTTTTTTTTTCCTTCTTGCTGTTGCCCAGGTAGTGATGTGTTGAATTTTATCCCTTACAGGTAAAACATTTGAAGTGGTGGATGTGGCTTTTTAAAATCTTTTAAAGTTTTTCCTACATCCATCTCTTGTACTAAGTGATTTGCTTATCATTTTGACATGGGTGGTCACTTCTATGAGAATTTAATTCAAAATATGTACTGTGTAGTTCTAAAGAAATAGTTTGTGTTAAGCATGTGTTTTCATTCATATAAACCGTTTTAAAAAATTCAGATGGCCTAATTTCATCCGTCTTACTGGTTTGTCTGTAATGAATGGTTACAAATAAGGGTTATATTTTACCCTCAAACTTTAAGTGCATTTTTGTATTTTCAGAGCAGGTTTAAATGTTTTTTTTTCCCTATAGCTGAACTGTTGTCCTCCTGGAAATCCTTCCCCTAACTTTTGTGGCACCATCTACTGGCAGAATGTCAGTATATCTGCAAAACAGTTGGTTTAAAAACTTGTTCAGGACAGTTACATCAGATTTTAGAAGTTTTGCCATCAAAAATCTGTGCAGACTTTGGTTATACATTTACTTGTAACTAAGATGGGCTTTACAGGAATGTAGTTAATGGTCCATTTCCCGACTGCCCTTTCTACATGAGGTTTGAAAATGTAAACTGCTATGCATAGCTTGGGCAGTGGCCCCACATTGCTATGATAACTAATGAACCAGCTTCATGTACTGGTATCTTAGGTGCAAGTTGTAAAGCAAAATATCTGTGTATTCTGCTTGGTTAACAAATGTATATTTGTAGCCCTTTCATGCAATAGAATTCAAGTTGTTTATAAAAAGCAAAGCAAAACAATGGTATAGGAGAAAATTGCCTTCCTGGATAGACATATAGAATAGCAACGTTTATGGATATCACAAATAAAGAATTCAATTCTTTACATGATTGAGTGAGAGTATGTATAACCTGGTTGGTGGGTTCAGAATACCTTTTAATCTAAGTACCTACATTTGATTTAATGATACGGTAAAATATTTGATTGGAATTTTGCTTAAGGCTTCTTAGTAGTCATTTTGACAAAGGGTAGCTGATACTTAGTACAGGTACTTTTAGTACCTCTACAACAAATGGGATAGATGTGTTTGCATATTGAATAAATTAACAAGATAGTCAAGTTTTGCATTACAAATGCTTTTACAAATTTGCTTAAATTTCTGTTTTCACTCTTACTGAAATGCATCATACTGCGTTTCTTCATGTGGTGATTTGGTCTAGCTTTTGCGGGGAGTGGGGCTCTAAGATACAGAAAATGATATGCTTAAATTTTTTATTGTAATTATTGTGCTTGTGTTTTACTCAGTTTTAGGAGGAAGATCTGTTTCTTCTGGTTCAACTGGAATAGTCCACCTTCTGGAGGGTTTTCAGAATTTAGTAAGGTTATTGTCGTTTGTATTTCCCACGTAGTGATGTGTGAAAAGTTATGTAAAAGGATTTCCTAATTAGAAAAGTGGCTTAGTGTTTATGGTATATCATCGCTTTGTTGTCATGTATCTACCTTTACAAATTTCTCATCTGGATTGGTATTCAGTGAAGGCAGAAATAGTGGTCTTTAGTCTTTCCAGATTTGGCATGTGGGACTTACTTGTTTGTTATGGTTTCACTTTTTTCACCTGTAAGATTTACCTGAACATTACTACTTCAAATTTAATCAAGACTTGGGGAGGAAGTAGTACAGAACCTAGTCAGCATTGAATATAATTTTTATGCAATGCTTGAATCTAATTTTGAAAGATTAGCAAAATAAAAAAATTTTTTTTTGTCTTCCTGTTGTGAAGAACTTCTGCATTTACAGTGTTTTAGTAAAATTCACTGGTAATCATTAGTTGGAAGAGGTTTGAAAGATTGAAAGTAATTTGGAGTCTTAAAAAGCTTGCAAATGGTTGACATTCATAGTGGTTACAAATCAGAATGATATACTGATAGCTTCATTCTGTAGCTTAGTGATTTAGAACAGAATATTTAAATCTTCATAATGAATTTTTGTTTTCAAGTGAGGTTAAAGCTTTGAGGATACTTAAGAATTTTCTATTTCTGATTAATTACCTCAAGAACAAAAATGGCAGTGTCAGTTATTTGATTTGTAGCTTTGTTTACCTTTAAGTGTGCTTAATACTCTCAAATTTGAGAATTTGCGTTTTAAACTAAATTTACCTATGTTTTTGCTGTTTAAAAGTGGGCATTTGGATGTTGAGTCAATTTAAGCAAAACTGCATCTAGGCAATGTAAGGATTATTCCCCCAAAGACAGTATTTGCACTTAGAAGAGGGTAAGTTAAGTCTCTTTCTTCCGTTTTAACCAACTTACTGCATCAGTGTTAAGATTTTGGTCACTGGGAATATAGTTTCTCTTCCCTGTTTTAGAAGGCTTTTTTTATTAAGTGGAGCAACAAAGATTGTCTCTAAACCAGGGTAAGACAGGGAATGCCTTTTCCTTGGTGTCTTATTGCAGGTTGCTTTGCTGTACCTTTGTCTAATGTTTTCTATTAAAAGTGAATCTTGTAAAAACTTCTTTCCAATAAAAATTCCCTTTCTACCGTGTTATTTTAAAAAATTATAATATTGCATGTTTGGCATATTTTTGTATTTTAAAAATTAAAATATTGCATGTTTGGTCAAATGCTGCCAAGTAACATTTGGCAATGTTAACTAGGAAATAGAAAAGAGAAATTGTACTGAATGTTGAGACTGGTGTATTTTTAAAAGTGAGAATTGATGTTTAAATAACTGCTTAAAAATCTAAACAAAGAATGGTAAAAAGCCTACCAATATGAGGAAATTATCTTCTCAAGGATAATCCTTGTTAATAGGTGTATGTTCAGCAAGGTCTTTTGTATGTACCTACATTTTAAAAGTAGAATAAAATAGTTCAGCAGTTTATATGATTGGCATTCTCATATCCGAACAAATAGACCTTCCTCATCCTCTTTAATGCCTGTATAATGTTCCATAGCATGGCTGTACCATAATGATTGATGGACATTTCTTGCTATTACGAGTAATGCAGTGATTGTTGGAATTGCACATCATGTTCTTGCTTACCACGTATACACTTAGTTGTTGAGATGGCTCACTCAAGTTGAATGTGTTGGATAACTAGAACACAGCAGTTCTCTGGTATCATGAGTATATTTTTGTTCTCAGTATATATTCAGGGAAAGGTACATGCTCATTGGCAGCCTTGTTAAAACCTTAGGGTATATTCAACTAAAACATTTTACTGAAAAATTTCAAAGCTAGGTAATACATGATAAAACAGTTAATGGCCTATAAAGACACTTATGTTGCTCCTTCCCTGTTTTCTCCCAGCACTTGGAGATGATGTATGTTAACAGTTTGCCTATTTCTAGGTCTTTTTATTTGCAGGGAGATATATTTATCTTTATTTTAGGAGCAAGTATTGGGTTGTTTTAGACATACATACATTCGTAAGTATTTTAACTTCAAAGACCACCCGTATGTGTACATAATCGCTCTGTATCATAAAACTGGTATACTATAGTATAGATGCACCGTAGTTTATTGTTTAGTATGTTTCCAAACTACTTTTGCAGACTTTGTGTTGCCATTTGCAACATACCAAAAAAGATCCGTCCCTGCTCACAAGGTACTTTCAATTTTTGTTTGAGTAGTGGGAATTCCAATGATTGTGATAGATTGTGGGCAGTTTAGTTAGAGATGGATATAAGCAGTTGTGTTGACTTGGTGGGTCAAGAAAACATTTGGGCTAGTCTTGATATTTAGACTGTGTAGATGAGTTGGCAGAGGGCATGCTACTATCATGCCAATACACAGCATGATGTAATGGGCTCCTTACATTTTTTCTTACGTTGCTAGGTCACAGAGACTTCAGAAGTACATCATCCATTTTTATTGCTTTGCATTATTTTATGGCTTATGGTTTTTGCTAAGTTTTAATAGCAAAATCAGCTTAAGGGATATGGGCAGATTCAACGATAGAAGTACAAGTCAGTTGAGATCTTGAATGGTAAATGATAATCACTGTATTTTAAAGTTTCTATGAGAAGTATAATTCATAGTTTGGAGACCCCCTTTATTAAGCCATAGTTAGCAATATTCTCTTCTATTTTTTTCCTTTGATATATCTTCCCTATATTTTGACTTATTAGGTGGTTTTAAAATAGAATTTTGTTAGAAAACATTTGCAGTAAGTAAATCGGTTTCTGACATTTGCTATAATTGGAAACAGTATGTTCTCTGTAAATTTTGTTTTAAAAATAAAGCTAACAGTTGTATAATTTGGCAGGGGAGGCAGGGTTAGTTTGAAGAATAAATGGGCATGAATTAC